GGATAGAGGATCCAGGGCACAGGACCACAGCAAGAGGATCAGCCTTGACTCCGGATCCCGGCGTAGATATAGACACAAAACAAGAAAAATGTGGCTGGGTTAATCGGAACATGAGAGTACACAGACACAGACGGACAGAAGGAAGAACAAGCACTCCCTTAGGATAGGTTACGGGAAAAGGGTAGCAAGTAAGAGAGTAAGAAACAGAGGTGGAGAGGCACACTGGAGCCTTAGTTGGAATTGAGCAGAGGTAGGGAGGAAGCTGTGAATACGGTCATAACACTCCCCTGCCTGGATAAGCTTCTCTGCAAACCTGTTTCCCTCTAATAAAACCTCGAAAGGTCAGAGAGGGAAAAGGTTTTTGGATAAAGAGAGGATAGAAAGAATCGATTACAGGAGTAGAGAATATGAGAAGTAGAGAGAGAAAAGATTTAGAAGAATGAGTAGTAGTAATAACCTTATTTTTCAATATAAGATCCAAGTTTTTAGGATTTAAAGGGGACCTATCATGCAAAATGCACTTTTGTACGTCTTTTATACATGAATATGTGTCCCCGGTGTTCCAGGGAACTCACCAAGTGTCAGAAAACACAACCCTCTCTATTTTCCTCCATACCCAAATCTCTAAAAAAGGGGCTGCTGATAAAATAAATCTGATAAAAACTGATCCAGATTTGAACACTGTCCTGACGTCAGGACAGTGGCGCTACGGCTATTGGGCCAACTCCACCAATCAGGAGGAGACAGCCACGGCCATTGCCGTTCGAAAGCGCTGGAGACGCTGTAGTACATATGCCAGGCCTGTAGATGGTGCTGTTCTCACTGAATCTGCCCTAGAGCTAAAAAATGTCAAATTGAGCAAAATGAGGCATGGCTAAAATGCATGATCTGTTTGGTATTTTGAAAAAAAAAAAAGTATAAATATGCCTTATATAGGTATGGTCCTACACTATATTATTCAAATATAGCATGATAGGTCCACTTTACGTGAGGCAATTGAAGACAGCCGCGGTGCTCTGAGACCTGATGAGACGGGGAGCGGAACAGTTTTTCGACCGCAAATTGTAAACCGAAATTAGTGTTGCAAATTGGACTGCAAAGTATAGTTTATATAAAAAAGTATATCGCCGAAATATTGATTTAGATTTGTTATTTTGAGACTATTTAAGTCAATACTTTTTTGTTAATAAATTACATTTTTTGACTGAAAACCTTCGGCTGCTTATTGCTTTGGATTGTGTGTCGTCAACCCCGCTCTATAGTGGCAAAAGGAAACCTTGGATGCCACTACAAGGGGTGTCAAATACAAAGTGGGCCAAAATTAAAAAATGGGTACTAGTCGAGGGCCGGACTGGTTCAATGTTTATTGCAAAACTTATTGAAATGAACTTATTGCACATATTAAACCTGGAACTAACAAAGCTTAAATTATTGCCTATAAAAACAACATTAAACATTAAATAATCAGTTGCATTCATTTCTTATGGCTCTATCTGCAGCTTTTCCGGAGTCATTTCTTATGATTACATTTTTCCACAGGCCAACAACAGCTTCAAAAAAACTATTTCCCTCAAAGAAAAAACAAACATGCCCTGTTGTCCAAGAAAAAAAGTGCAGAAGGAAACATCCATTGAAACTCAGTGTGCTGCTCTGTGATGCTATGCCAGATACTTGGCATCTCATCTTGGGTGCAAGTTCATCAATGTTTGGGCTCAGGCTCTGAGCTGAGGAAACCCTCAGGATTGAGTGAAGGCGTGCGTGCAATATACCGGCGGGCCAGATCTAATAGTAATTAGAAATTATCCTGCGGGCCGAAATTAAATCCACCACGGGCCTTGAGTTTGACACGTGCTTTAATACCTAATATGAGTTGAATATGTGCAGTATGGTATTATATGCCAATACAAGATACACCAATAGACTTAAGTTATTACTTATTTTAGTTTTTATTGTTTTTCTCACCGAAAATCATTTGTAGAAGAAACTATCAGAAAAAAGTCAAGGAGTATGAAGATTATAAGGGTTAGGTTTAGGTTTAGAGTTAGGTTTAGGGTTAGGGTTAGGTTTGTGACATTTTTAAAGACAACATTTGACACTGCATGATTAAAGAGAAACAAACCAACATAGAAATTTAAATTAAATAAAAACATTTGTTTATTTATTTATGCTTTTGACGAATTAAGAAAATTGTACATCGCTATAAAACAAACGTAGCCCCCGGAGTTACCCCTGATGTCATGGTAACACATCTTACTAATGTTTTGTTTTTTTAATCGTACATTTTGGGAAAAACCCGGTGCTCCCGGAGAAAACCCGCAGATAAGTTAGTGGCTTTTATCTCCTGGCCTGCTGAGCTTGATTCTCCTGAACCGTTTTCATGTGTTCAAGGAAGTCATTGTCAACAGTGACGTTCTTCACATTCAAGCTGTTCATTCGGTCCTGATCGCCGTTTGGATTCTGAACCGCTGTGTTTTTGTCCCTCAGCGGCTTCACCTGGAAGGCTGATTCACTGACTTCCAGGTTGAGCAGTTGATGCTTAAAGTGTTTCTTACTATCAATCTCTTCGTTGGCATCATCCAGATTCTTTTGCAGGAGGTCATTTTCCGCTTTCAAACCATCCAAGTGATCGAATGTCAGCAAATGAGAACGACCCTTCCTCAAAACACCAATCTCTAGGTTAAGATCCACGAGATCCTTCCCCATGGCGGCACTATCACACCTCAAGGTCTCGTTGGATGCCATCAAAGCCTGATACTTGATCATGAGATCATTTTCCTTGTGAACCTCATTGCTCACACCCTGGATCTTGTTCATTAAAGCCTCGTTCTTCCTCATAACGTCCTCTCTCTCAGCTTTCGCCTCCTTGTAAGAGTCCTCGAGCTTCATGAAAAGCAGATGCCTTTTCTTGAGCTGCAAAACTTCTTCTCGCAGGGAGACATGTTCGAGACTCATGGCGGCTTTTTCTGTCACCATTGCGTTGTAACTTTCCCTAATGGTGTCCTCATTCTGAAGTTCTTGACACAACTCGTGTTTCTTTTGTTGCAACAATTGATTTCGCTGGAGAATCAACTCTCTTTCTTCCTTCGCAATGTTGTATGACCCCTGAAGATCCTCTAAACCCAGAAGCCTCTTTGAAAGCTCAAAGATCTCTTCTTGCAAGTCTTCAGTTTGGCTCCTTTCCTCATATTTCAACTGGTTCATTTCGTCTATCTCAAACTGCACCGTGCTTTCATTTTCAAGCTCCCTGCAGAGATCCACTTCCTGCTGCAGAGCCTGGTTCTTCTGGAAAACCGTCTCTGTCTCTGCCTTAGACACTTGGAAACAATCCTGAAGTTGCTCTTTCCTTTGCTTGAGACACTCAAGTTCTTCCTCAAGGCCACCATTTACTCTGATGGTTTCCTCTGCGTCACTTCTCAATGCATCGAGCGTTTCCTCTGCAGCAGAATAGCTTTGGATCCATGAACGCACCTCTGTAATCAGTGCTTCGAGCTCTCTCTGTCCACATAGTGCAGCTTCATTCTCCTGAACCGTTTTCATGTGTTCAAGGAAGTCATTGTCAACGGTGACGTTCTTCACATTCAAGCTGTTCATTCGGTCCTGATCGCCGTTTGGATTCTGAACCGCTGTGTTTTTGTCCCTCAGCGGCTTCACCTGGAAGGCTGATTCACTGACTTCCAGGTTGAGCAGTTGATGCTTAAAGTGTTTCTTACTATCAATCTCTTCGTTGGCATCATCCAGATTCTTTTGCAGGAGGTCATTTTCCGCTTTCAAACCATCCAAGTGATCGAATGTCAGCAAATGAGAACGACCCTTCCTCAAAACACCAATCTCTAGGTTAAGATCCACGAGATCCTTCCCCATGGCGGCACTATCACACCTCAAGGTCTCGTTGGATGCCATCAAAGCCTGATACTTGATCATGAGATCATTTTCCTTGTGAACCTCATTGCTCACACCCTGGATCTTGTTCATTAAAGCCTCGTTCTTCCTCATAACATCCTCTCTCTCAGCTTTCGCCTCCTTGTAAGAGTCCTCGAGCTTCATGAAAAGCAGATGCCTTTTCTTGAGCTGCAAAACTTCTTCTCGCAGGGAGACATGTTCGAGACTCATGGCGGCTTTTTCTGTCACCATTGCGTTGTAACTTTCCCTAATGGTGTCCTCATTCTGAAGTTCTTGACACAACTCGTGTTTCTTTTGTTGCAACAATTGATTTCGCTGGAGAATCAACTCTCTTTCTTCCTTCGCAATGTTGCATGACCCCTGAAGATCCTCTAAACCCAGAAGCCTCTTTGAAAGCTCAAAGATCTCTTCTTGCAAGTCTTCAGTTTGGCTCCTTTCCTCATATTTCAACTGGTTCATTTCGTCTATCTCAAACTGCACCGTGCTTTCATTTTCAAGCTCCCTGCAGTGATCCACTTCCTGCTGCAGAGCCTGGTTCTTCTGGAAAACCGTCTCTGTCTCTGCCTTAGACACTTGGAAACAATCCTGAAGTTGCTCTTTCCTTTGCTTGAGACACTCAAGTTCTTCCTCAAGGCCACCATTTACTCTGATGGTTTCCTCTGCGTCACTTCTCAATGCATCGAGCGTTTCCTCTGCAGCAGAATAGCTTTGGATCGATGAACGCACCTCTGTAATCTGTGCTTCGAGCTCTTTCTGTCCACATAGTGCAGCTTGATGCTTGGCTTTGATAGCATCGATGCAATCCAGCACATCTCGCTTGTCAAACATCTGTCCCTCGAGGGTCTGTCGTTCACGCTCCAATTCCTTGTTTGTCTGGATTAGTCCCTGGAACATCGCCTCTACGGTAACGTTATTTTCGATCTTCTCACTAAGAACCCTCCCTTCTTTTTCGAGGTAGGCACATTTGCGCCTCAGGACACGTTCCTCGGCCTTCAGAGCGTCAAACTGCTCCCCCAGCGCTGGAAAGCTGCTGAACTGTCTTTGTATGGATTGCATTTCCACATGTACGGTCTTGATATGTTCTTGAACTGCCCCAAGACTCCTTCTAACTCCAGCGTAGTCACCTCCCATTTCCACTTGTTCCTTATTGCAGGACATGTTTTTTTAAGATGATAATGATACACACACAGTAGCAACTGGTAATACCTAACTGTTTCTCACGGGGAAAAAACAGAATTTCATGGGGTGTTCTGCTAAGCCAAGATATGCTATGCCTTAAAACTCAAACTTGTCTCCTTGCAGGTTCAAATTTGGAACTATCGATGATGTCACAAAGCACATCACAGCATCATCATGACATCACTTGGAATTTCTGCACAATGCTCACATGTAGAGATGTGGCCATGGCAACAATGAAGATGCATTCTGGGTAACTTTGCCCAGGCATTCCATTTTTGAAAAACAACAACAAGATGGTTGACTCCTACTCTCTATTCTACTCAATATTAAGGGAGTTCTTTGTGGAAGATTATATAGTGAAAATGAACACACCGATGTTCTGAAACTAATATATAAAAAGGGACTTGTTTTGGGATGTCCTGTTAACAATAAACCATTATTATTACTCAAAAATTGTCGTCAAAAGCAGAGAAAATACTTCCTAATAATACTCTTTATTCAAAAAAAATTTGAGTCTGTAGGCATGAAATATTAATGTTTTTGGTACAAAATTAGCTTGAGCACAATTTTGTATTGGCCATTTATTGACTGATATGACGGCACAGGGTACCCTGATCAGAGCGTCCTGAATATTTGTATTTTAATTTAGTTAACTTTTATGTGTCTGTAGCCAGATCTGGGCAGTAAGTACACGGCCTGGTCTTCAGTGAGCACTCTGATCCAGAAGAACCTGGTGATGAAGACCCACAACCCTGCAAGGTACAGAGGACACACACACACACACACACACACACACACACACACACACACACACACACACACACACACACACACACACACACACACACACACACACACACACACACACACACACACACACACACACACACACACACACACACACACACACACACACACACACACACACACGTCTCTAAAACCCAGGAATTGATAATTGACTTAAGACGTCACAAGGATGTTCCTAAGGAGTGAATCATACTCAATGACAAGGTTGAAATTGTCACATCATATAAATACTTGGGCACCATTTTCGACGACCACCGCACATTCGATGTGAATACTGAGTGTGTTGTGAAGCGGGGTCAATGCACCTTCTTCGCAAACTGAACTCTCTCTGTCAGGCCGGTCATTCTTTGTTGTTTTTACCAAAGCATTCATTGAGAGCCTTATTTGTTTTTCTTTTTTTCCATAGTGTAAGGAATAAAATCTATATTTATATGGCGTAACTTAAAATGAATACACTGTTCTTATTTTAAGCTGCTTTATTCTGAAAACCGGATGTTCACACACTCGACTTCCGGTTTTCGCGAGTAAATATCGTCAACTTCCGGTTAGCATTAGCATGTAGCTAATTTTGTGTTTCTGTGAATTTAAGGAGAAATGACACGTGGTGTTGCACACTAAACACACTGTCTTTAACCATCACTTATTGACGCTACAATACTATTATTAGGGAATGTTTAAATGACCAACATATTAGAAGATTGTAAAACTAACATCAGAAAACGACAGGACGTGCCTTGGACCCGCCCCAGTCAACGCTAAGCCAATAGGAGAAGCCTACAGATTATAAAATGAGAAGCCAGCTGGAAGCCGCCCTCTTTCCCAGCTGTCCATCAAGGATAACCAACCATTCTTGCAATTTCATTGTATCATCGTATCGTTGTTTTATTAAACGCTGTTAACTTGTAAATAAGCTTCCTGGAGTCCTTTCAGCTAATCCTGAGCTCAGAGCTCAAATACCCTACAATAGCCTTACACTGAAAGACAGGAACAGCCTGAACAACATTGTTAAAACCTGCTCTCAGGTCATCGGAGTGAAACAGAGAGACTTAAACTCCTTTTGCAACCAACAGATTATGCGGAAAGCAATTCAGAGTGTTTTGAAGTGGAAATGGGGGCTTCCCTTTCGTTTAAATGTAGTTCACTCTTCCTCCCTCTTCAGGTATTCTCTGACAGAAGAGGGTCTGGCTTTAGGGGAGCGCCTCAAGTCTTTAGAGGGAACTAAAGGTCCAGAAGGAGACAGAGAGGAGGCCAGGAGTGAAGGAAACAAGCAGGAGGAGGGAGAGGAGGGTGGCCCGGGGTTTGTGGACCTCACTGTTAGTGATGATGACGAAGAGGAGAAGGAAGAGGAGAGAATACAGTGAGTGTGCTTCAAAACTTCTGGGAAAAAAACGTATCATTATCTCAACATGTAACTATACTCTGAAATGCATTTAAGTCGCACCATTATTTTCCTTTTGTCATATGTTTGTGTTTGGACTGATAGACTAAGTGTTTAGAGACCATTTAAACATTCAAGATTCAAAATAACGTGGTCTTGGTTTTCACAATCTTAAGTCCCAGCCTCCTCCAACAATTTACGACATAAAAAGGAATAAATATAGTCCAAAAAGAAACAGAAACGTGCAAGTAAAATGCAAAAATAGGTCAACTATATACATAAATAAAAATACGGTGCTTTCTACTTTTATATACGACAATACGTGGACTTTACTTTGTGTGTTTTAGCTTGTAATGTTTCTGTAAAATACATGAACTCTCAACAATTGTAGATTTATTAGTAATATATATTTTAGACAGAAATATCTCCATTATGTTTTATGATTGCACTTGTATTGTTGAACTGTTTGTAAATACAATAAAAGGAATTGAACCGTCTTTTCCCAGACCTACAGAGAGGCCGATCTCCTCTGCCCAGCCGAGGGTTGTCGTTCCTGGGATGTTCTTTTCAGGAAAACCCCAAAATGTACCGTCAACGAGCAGAAACCCAAATTCATGGAGTCTCCTTCCCGGCTCCTACGAGATCATCGTGTGTGTGTGTGTGTGTGTGTGTGTGTGTGTGTGTGTGTGTGTGTGTGTGTGTGTGTGTGTGTGTGTGTGTGTGTGTGTGTGTGTGTGTGTGTGTGTGTGTGTGTGTGTGTGTGTGTGTGTGTGTGTGTGTGTGTGTGTGTGTGTGTGTGTGTGTGTGTGTGTGTGTGTGTGTGAAGCGGAAGCAGGATCTGGTCAAAGAGCTGCAGATGAACGGAGTGACGTTCGATGTGAGGAAGCTCAACGTGGGAGATTTCCTGTGGGTCGCTCGGGAAAAGGTCGCACCTATTCCAGGTAACACAACGTAAAAAACAAATCCACTTTTTCCTGTCTCTTCTACATCAACATGTGTCCCCTCTTCTTCATGTCTCTTCTACATCAACATGTGTCCCCTCTTCTTCATGTCTCTTCTACATCACCATGTGTCCCCTCTTCTTCATGTCTCTTCTACATCAACATGTGTCCCCTCTTCTACATCAACATGTGTCCCCTCTTCTTCATGTCTCTTCTACATCAACATGTGTCCCCTCTTCTTCATGTCTCTTCTACATCAACATGTGTCCCCTCTTCTTCATGTCTCTTCTACATCAACATGTGTCCCCTCTTCTTCATGTCTCTTCTACATCAACATGTGTCCCCTCTTCTTCATGTCTCTTCTACATCAACATGTGTCCCCTCTTCTTCACGTCTCTTCTACATCAACATGTGTCCCCTCTTCTTCACGTCTCTTCTACATCACCATGTGTCCCCTCTTCTTCATGTCTCTTCTACATCAACATGTGTCCCCTCTTCTTCACGTCTCTTCTACATCACCATGTGTCCCCTCTTCTTCACGTCTCTTCTACATCACCATGTGTCCCCTCTTCTTCATGTCTCTTCTACATCAACATGTGTCCCCTCTTCTTCATGTCTCTTCTACATCAACATGTGTCCCCTCTTCTTCATGTCTCTTCTACATCACCATGTGTCCCCTCTTCTTCATGTCTCTTCTACATCAACATGTGTCCCCTCTTCTTCATGTCTCTTCTACATCAACATGTGTCCCCTCTGTGTAAAGAGATTCTGAAAGTTTCAGGAACAAAGATTCTCTCTCTTTTTGTCCTGATCCATTTTTATAAAAACCTGTCTGAAAATGAGCTGATCAGATTTTGGCCACTTTATGATGTCATAACGATGTTTTGGCTTGTGTAACCATTAGCCAATCAGCAACCAAGGTAACCCCCCCCCCCCCCCCCCCTCCCCCACCTTATCACCTGAATCTCCTCCTAGAGCACCATTAGCCGCGTTCACACCGGAGTACTTTCACCATACTTTTCGCGTTTTAGTTCCGTGAGTACCCCTTATGTCGCGTTCACACCAAAAATCGTACTTAATCTCGGGTACTTTTACCCCCATTTTTAGAGCCAGCTCAGAGAGCGTACTTTTCTGTGGGTGAAAAGTGCTCCAAAAGTGCCCCAGTGCTGATTGGCTGGGCGAATTGCAAACCACGCCCGTACAACTCTGAAAATGTTGTGTGGAGACGCCATTGTTTTTCCTCGCTACAAAAACACAACGCTCCGTGCGTTGTGTTTGTTTTTGAAAGCAGTTATGGCAAGCATCAAGAAATGATGAGGAGGTGTCGGCGCTTCTGGAGATCTACGCCGAGGACGCGACCCAGGGAATGCTACTGAAGCCAGTTCGGTAGCTTTCACTCGACCTGGGAATTGTGCACAGCCGGCTAAATATAAAGAAACTCAGGACTACAAACGGCGGATTCAGTGGCCAACGATGACTACCACGACGAAGGTAAAATCAACTACATGCACTGGGGTTTTAATCTGCACAATAATGGTCTCAGATGTACTTTTATTTGCTCAGTAGATCAAGCTAGCCATGCTAGCCATAATAGGCTAACACCGGCCCCGAGCTAGCTACATCTAGCTAGCTAGATATTCTCCGCCGCTATGAAAACGTTTTGACTTGTGAATAACTGTGCAGTGTTTCTGTAATTTGCTTCACTAACTCATGGCACTAATCGTCTGTTTCAGGCGAGGATGGACAACTCTCGGGATTGGAAACAAGCGAGCTTTGCATTCTAGATCACAGTTCTTGGTCGTCCTCCTTACCTTGCAGAGCAGAGCTAAAACAAGTGCAAATTGAGCGAAATGAGGCATGGCTAAAATGCATGATCTGTTTGGTATTTTGAAAAGAAAAAAGTATAAATATGCCTTATGTTTTTCTCATACTGATATTCTGAACAAACTGTGCTGTTGTATTTGCTGTAAAGTGTCTTTACTGTAGGGTATTTTTATTATATGTACAGCACCTTGGCTCGACCAAAAATCGTTTAAAAATGTGCTATATAAATAAAACTTGATTTGATTTGAATAATTGGGGATTCCATAATCCCTGCTCTGGCTGGAGTGTAGCGCTGGAGGAGTTTGGCTATATAGGCCGGAGCCAGCCCATTTAGGGCTTTGAAAACAAATAAAAGGAGTTTAAAATCTATTCTGAACCGAACTGGAAGCCAGTGCAATGAGGCCAGAATTGGGGTGATGTGGTCACGCTTTTTATGGCCAGTGAGAAGACGTGCAGCTGCGTTCTGAACTAGCTGCAGGCTTCTAATTGAGGCCAGGTCCATACCCACATACAGAGCGTTGCAGTAATCCAGTCTCGAGGTAACAAAGGCGTTAATAACCCTTTCTAGGTCTTTAAAAGATAAATACGACTTGGTTTTAGCCAATAGCCAATATTAATGTGGTTGGGGCAAACAGGGGACGAGGGGGTGCCGGTGATTGAGGATGTGGTGACCGAGCAGAAACAGCTGGGCTCGGAGAGGATTTTCTTGCCGGCTCAGGGCCCGAAAAACTTCCCGAGTGTCTCAGCACGGCCTCTTTGAGGAGTCTACGACGTGAAGAGGTGGTCGCCGGACGGGATGAGGGACGCCGAGTTGACTCCACAGTGGCCTGGGAAGCAGCACAAATGCTGTCGGCTGCCGGCGCAGAAGTTGCAGGGGCGGCAGGGTGCAGATCTGGACGGGTCAGTGCCGCGGGAGCATCAGCTGGACGGGCCAGATCGTCTGGACGGGCCAGCGCCGCGGGAGCACCAGCTGGACGGGCCGGATCATCTGGACGGGTCAGTGCCGCGGGGGCATCAACTGGATGGACCGAAGGCCCAGGCGAGGCGGTGAAGTTACCCCATTCAAAAAGCTCTTGCGCACCACTTCAGACCACGACTGCTGGTGGCCAGGTGTCGAGCAGTCGGAAGGCCGCGGACAGGTGGAAGGATCCCACAGAACTGTGTCATGGATAGTTGCACTGAACGAGGCAAATTGTTTAGACTGCACCGATGCTACCTCCATGAGACCAGATACGAGAGACTCTTTTTCTTTCAGCTTGTCAGAAAGCCGTCGGATATCCTCCTTAAGGTCTGTTATCTGTTTATTTGCTCTTTGAAGTAGCACATCATCCTCAGGGTGTTTTGATGGCATTCTTGAGTGTGAAAGGTTTAGGGCAATTACTGTCCCATGCACCAATGCCAAACTGCGTCAAGATGTTGTATAAGCAGGGATGGCTAAATGTTTGTAAGCAGGAGAGCTAGATGCTAACAGATGCCAGATGCTAACAGGTAGTGGGAGCCTGTAAAAATTGCGACTGCCTCAGAGCTCGCATCATCACCATAGAGAGCATCCTGACCTCCTAGAGGTGCACCATAGAGAGCATCTTGACCTTCTACAGGTGCACCATAGAGAGGATCCTGACCTTTACAGGTGCACCATAGAGAGGATCCTGACCTTCTACAGGTGCACCATAGAGAGGATCCTGACCTTCTACAGGTGCACCATAGAGAGGATCCTGACCTTCTACAGGTGCACCATAGAGAGCATCCTGACCTTCTACAGGTGCACCATAGAGAGCATCCTGACCTTCTACAGGTGCACCATAGAGAGGATCCTGACCTTCTACAGGTGCACCATAGAGAGCATCCTGACCTTTACAGGTGCACCATAGAGAGGATCCTGACCTTCTACAGGTGCACCATAGAGAACATCCTGACCTTTACAGGTGCACCATAGAGAGCATCCTGACCTTCTACAGGTGCACCATAGAGAGCATCCTGACCTTCTACAGGTGCACCATAGAGACCATCCTGACCTTCTACAGGTGCACCATAGAGAGCATCCTGACCTTCTACAGGTGCATCATAGAGAGCATCCTGACCTTCTACAGGTGCACCATAGAGAGCATCCTGACCTTCTACAGGTGCACCATAGAGAGGATCCTGACTGACTGCATCACAGCCTGGTACGGCAGCTGCACCGTCCTCAACCGTAAGACTCTACAGAGGGTGGTGAAAACTGCACAGCACATCACCAGGAGAGAGCTGCCAATCTTTCGAGGACCTCTACTCCCAGCGGCTCAGGAAGAAAGCCCTCAGGATTATCAAAGACCCCCATCACCCCAGCCACAAACTGTTCTGTCTGCTGCCGTCTGGCAGGCGGTACCGCAGCATCCGGACTAAAACCACCAGACTCAGGGACAGCTTCATCCCACAGGCAATAAGACTGCTAAACACCTGAGCTCTGTTAAGTGCCTCGATAAACATTCATCTGTTGTAATCTTACAATTGATTTATCTAAAGAGTTATCAATCTAATAAACAGTATATACATCTTACTGTACAATATTTAATTTTACATTATTTTCTTGTATATATCATATTCTATGTGTATATAGACTTCTTGCACTATTTTTGTAATTGTTTTGTTGTTTATGTGTTATATAACTATGTTGCATTGTTGGAGGAGCTCGGGACATAAGATGTTCATTGCTATTTCTACACTGTAGCTTATGTGTATATGACAATACAACCTTTACATCTTTGAATTGAATTGAATTTGTATATCTATTTATAAATCTAAAATTCATTCAACCAAGAACAGAAATTAGACACACCATGTTTGGTATAACATACAGTTCTGTGTAAACAATTTCAAATACATGTCGTTTCCCTTTATTTACCACAGAGCTTTATAAATATGAT